AGTAGAGGTCAGGAACTTAACAATTATCATTATCGATGAAAAGAAGTAATTTTCAACAGTAGCCAATTTGTAGAGCAGAGTAAATAAGGATTGCATGTGCGGTAGCTGTGACTTACAAAACAAATCTTTATTCTACCTACTGGACTAAAAGAAAAGTTTAATTGCCACTATTAAACAAGTAATTGAATTAAGCAAAAAATATTCTATTTTCCCCGGTGTTGCCAGGAGGTTGAGCCCAAGCACATCAATGTGTAATTCGTCCAGGAGAAACACTTACAGAGCTTTGATCTTACAGGGAAAGAAGACATAGTTTACTGAGAGGCCCATGTTCAGAAGAGAAATATTTATAAGAGCCTTTTTTTCCGTAAAACGCGTTTACAGGGCCAAGGGGAACTTATTTTTTACTGGTCAGGAAATTCGTAACAAAACGTTCTTAACATATTACGTACTTTCTTAACTGGCTTCAAATCAAATCTTAACTATGTCTTGTCTATCGTCACGTGTACGTAGTCGACCATGAGGAAGTCATCCATGATCAAACTGCCCGTCCTTGTTATTGCCGTTCTGTTATTTTGTTTGGTGAAAGAAAAATTCCAGTGCAAAAAAGAAACCCCGTTAAAAGTCTAAAAACATGCCAAAAATAACTCAAAACCCAAACCTCTGCTTGGAGAGTAGTGGTTCCCCTTTTTTCCCTGCCATGTCGTAAATAAAATAGATTCTATTTTGGAGCCGAATGACCTGGCATTTGCAGAAGGCGTTAATATGGAGTTAAGGCGTTAATATTGTTGTTGGAGAACTTCGCATTTGGGACAAGTATTGTCAACAGGAAAAACTAGCTTAAGTGCACTGTGAACTATGTAACACCTCTAGTGCACTATGCACCAAATAACATCTAGCGTCAGTGCACAGTAAACCAGTCAAAATTGTCCTGATGAAGATGACAGCTGGTCATTGAAACGTCGGCTTGTGAAAAACAAAGAACTTTGCTTTTCAGTCGTTTACCAACCTAATGAAATTATTTACGGATTGATACTAGTGTTTACAACAATTCAGTCGTGGCGTCGGTGGCGGAACGGCTAGAGCGTTGGACTTGGAACCGAGAGGTCCCGGGTTCGATAATCACCGTGGCCCGACGCTGTGCCCTTGGGAAATGCACTTTACACGACTTTTCCACCTATACGGTTGAGTTACGCCCACCGAGCCCCTTAGGCTAATCTGTCTGGGTGCCAAAAACGCCTTATGGATTTGGTGCACCAAACAATACACTACATACCCAGTACCAACTATGATAATAAACCATGGCCGGACACACATATTTGACGGCAAATGCAGGTTTATTAAGACTAATTAAAAATGATAAAATGATCTCTTAACTTAAGCATGCTTCTGTTAAGGGAAAACGTGGCTATAATGCTGTTATGATTTCCAAAAAAAATGCTAATATTGGTGAATGGTGATCACTATATGTACTACAAGGGCTCGAAATACCCATGTGCAATGTGCAAAATGCACATGATTTTCAAGATTTGCACTTAAAATATTTTGAATGTGCAATTTGGCACCTAGAGCAGGAGGGGGAGGGGGGCGTTGCAGGCAAAGAAGCAAAAATTAATTGGGATTTGACGCCCCCAGCCCCTAGGACAGACAACACTTGTGAAACAACAGGAGCTTCTCGACTAATTTGCATCATCCTTTTTTTTCAATGTGCAATCATAAATATTTCGGCAATGTGTAATCATCTTCCTTGTCTTGACTTGTCTAACTTTTGTTTCATTTTGGACTTCCAAAAATTGTCTTCATTTATTTGCATATCAATAGATAGTTTTTTGCTTATAAATCGTCCATTCTCCTGCAGTCTAGAGCTCTTAGTGTCACTGACGAACGGTAATGGATGCTACCTGAAATATCTAACCGCTTCCAAAATAATATACAGTTAAGTAACTGTTTTTGGGTTACCTTATTACCTGGATGTGTAAACTTTTTGCGCATACTTTTTTTTTAAATTGCAGCTAAAATGTTTGCCAATGTGTAATTTTGCACATACCTGAAAAAAGGATTTCGAGCCCTGACTACGCAAAGGAAGCCATACAGTAAGGAATACATGAAGCCAGAAACCCTGGCACTGCGCCTGCGCTAAACCTTGATGCTGCGCGGTTTCCGTTTAATGTTTGGTCAGCAAATAATGTTTCCTTTGCAGACGAATTCTTTTCCAACATAAAATTTAAAAACTACAGACGGGATGTTTCCTTACATATGCAAATACGTCTTGCCGAGGTGTTATGTACAAACAATACGGGTTTGGCGCAGGCGCAGTAAGTTCTGCTGACGTGCTGAATGAACATATGTTAACCAGACGTTGCCTTGCTTTACTAACATAACCGGACGTTGATGTGTGATGTTTACTATCAACAGCAGCTTACCGATATTCACGTATACATGTATACCCACTCAGCCAGTAAATCGATTTTGATGAAGGTTATGGATTGATGTAAACTGATTTAACGCCATCTTGAGCATTTTTTCCTTCATAATTATCAATATTTCAACTCATACATTACTTTCTTTGAAAACAAATAACATCTTGGGTATATATAATCCTTATCAGGTGCATAATACCGGTATCTCAACCATCAAAATGTTTCAAACTGAAGTTGTTGTCGCTTTCAATTTGGAATGAGCAAAAAGGCTTTCTTATTCTGACAGTTACCTTTTGTACATGTTAACCAACATACGTGTTATGTTATGATTCCGTAATTATGATGGTTGAAACACAAGTAGACCTGAGTGCTACAAACGGGCAACATGGTGACGGGATATCAGACAACTGTCATCATTGAGTAACCATGATGCCAACTAGTACTTCAATTCATAAGTAATGAATGGATTAGATTAAATGATAAGAATGGATTAAGAACACCCTAAAGCCCGTGTCATAACAAGGTAATCACACCATCGAATAGCATAAGCTGGTTCATGGTTTAAATCGTACATGCGCAGTGTAAAATGTTAAAGGCTTTTGAGACGTAACAAGACACTCCTGGACATGGTATCGGATTTGGTGTAGACAAGAACTGATTACAAGTTACGTCGATGACATTAAGAGATCCAAATACACAGAAAAACAGTTACTCAGTGACTAAATAAAAAATCAGAAGATGCTACTGGAATAGTCTGACAGTTTTCAAAACTATCCAGTTGCTTGCGAAACTGCTTTATTGTGTGAAACAAAGTTTTTGATTCGCAACCACTTTTTAACAATAACATCGAAACGTCGGCTCTTGTTAATTAAGAAAAAGTGGTTGTAAATAAATAATTTTGCTATTCATTCAGTTACAACCTGGATTAAATTCACGATTATTTGCATTTTTGTTTTTAGGTTAGTGGTCTTCAACTTTGACCTCGTGCATGCGCATTTTAAACCATGAACAGGCTTATTGTTCACAGACATGAAGTTCACGGTCAGGTTGTAAATATGAACAGCGCAACAAAATAGCCAAGGAATGAACCAGCTACGACCGGGTGTTGTACAAGGTATATTCGTATATTCTTAAGTTTTCCTACATACAATGCAGGGACATGTTTAACACGTTCGCATAAATGAATTTTATAGTCTGTTTCTTTGATGCGTTTTATCGGTAGTAACTTTGGATACAATTTATAGCCAGGATTTTTAAATTGACTAAACGTTAAGTAAGTCCACTTCAAAAATGCCTCAGTTAGTAAATAATCAGAAAAAAAATGTTTGTGGACGGTTGTCCCAACATTGTATTGCAGATGCCGTCGTACCAATTGAATCTGAAACAACCCAACTTTTCCTGACATAAGGCTTTGTCATCATATTTTGGTTTTAATAAGCAGACAATTACTGAACATTCATGTAAAATGTATTTTGGTTATCGTTTCCAGCTTGAATATCATCATTTTGGACAAAGGAATTGACAATACTTTGTTCATTTTGTGTGATTTAAATTAAGTCAAACACGATAGTTCTTTAAACCGTGATTTCAACATCTTCCAGTAGTCTTTTTGCTTTAGTCTCGACACTTGAATAAAAGACGTTATTTGTACATAGGGAAAAAACAGGTGGACGTTTACTCTGGGGAAGTCATGGACTAAAGGTTGTATCAAACTCAAATGGCTTATATATAATAACTACATTCTACATTATCTCATTTCTAGGATACCAACTCGGTGATGTTTCTTTACCAATTAAACAACGTCTGCAAAAAAAATGGAGATTGCAGATGGAAAATAAAAATCTTGTTCGTTCTCAAATTGAGCAAAAAATAAATTTTAAAAGACATTGGATCCTTTACCCTAGAAATGAGATAAACGAGTCAGCGGCCCTTACTGAATCTCACACGAGTTGCTTCAGTCTTGAAAGTTGAAGAACTTGGCAGATGTCCTACATGCCTGCAGAGAGGAGAACAAAACTGAACGTCAGAAACCTTATTTTTGAAGGAACTTTAAAGCAATCGGGACAAGTAGGATACATATGACCTTCAAAACTGCTAAACACAACGAAACAAAGCCGTGTGAGGGACAAAGCTGTACAAGTATAATTTTTGTAAAACTCGGAGACATTAACTGTGAATACTGTGGTTTAAATACGACCATAAGCTAGTTATTTTGTTGCGCTGAGTACCTAAGTACCTTTATATCCCCAAGAGAGGCGTGCATGTGATGAAAAGAAAAGGAAAGGGGATTCGATTCAAATATCGGGACAGTTATTACGGTGGAAGGGGCGACATGATTGTTGTCTACAAAGTTGACTTTTTTCTTTTATATCTGCACAAGAGTCGGATACCATTTCTAACGGAGGACAGTTTACCACTTCTGTATACTGCTTGAAAACTATCATCAGTTTGCAGCTTAAGAATGACGAAAATGGCCTCACGACTCTCCCCTAGTCTTTAGCAGCAGTCTGAGAAATTCTCTGCCAGTAGACTGACTGACTCTGACTAATTTCTGACAACTTGTGAGACATAACATTTCCTCACCCGCATACTCAACGGAAAATCCAGGACCATTTACTGAATGGTCGGAGATGAAGACGAGGTGCATGGTCCTCCCACTGGCCTCGACCGGCGGCGGAATTGTGCTACCGCAGAATTTGCCGAGCTGTGTGCCGCTGGAGGTGGGGCCGTCATACACCGCCAGGTAGTCGTAATTACAGATGCTATGTGTCTCTATTTGGATACTTGTAAACCTACAAGATGTTAACGTTCAACATCAGTGTAATATAACAGAAGGCTTGCCATGATTAACGTGAAATGATCATATAATACTGCTGCTTGCATGTAAAAATTTAAAATTTAAAGGCAATGTTGATATGATTCGATACGGATGACATCCGCACGCGAATGAGTTTTCAGCCGTTTCCAAAAAAAATGTCAACCTTACTGTCAATCGTTCAAGTCAGTTGTAAAATTACCAAAAATATACCGTTAGTTGCAAACAAAAATATTGGAAAACGATACCAATGTCATAGAATGCCAAAATCAAACGAAAAAGACAAGCATGTAAAGAAATGAAGACTAGAGTATTTGCCATACATTACACTGTGTCATTTGTTCAACGTTCAAAACCACGTAGATTTCATAATGAAAGCAACTTTTTGCCAAACTGTTTTTTATTCGCACGCTTGCATCAGTTTTGGGGTTCCCAGAGGTCATTCATATAATCAAATCAACATGGCCTAAATAGAATAAATGAACAATCAGTAATGTTGCTACTTTCTGCTAGTTTGTGACTTTATAAGGGCGATTGTCTCCATATGTCATTGGTTATCTCAGACTGGGTTGATTGCCTTACCTAGTTTAACATGATAGGTTAAACAGACTGGATAAGGTTTACATATAACCACCAAATATAGCACGTACCTTTAAACTAAAACTGTCACATGTTATAAACAGCACTAAAAAGACCATGAGACTAACTTCAAAGGACTAAGCCTAACACACTTACCTGATGTTGGCCCGCCTTCCCCTGCTGACAGTTATCGTCCAGGAACACCGGAGGTTGGGTGGGTACATGCCCGGGTAACCAGGGAAGGTGATCGTACCGGAGTCTCCACTCAGTATGGCAGGATCCTGACAGCCGGAGTACTGAGCTGAGGTAAATAGAAGGTGAAAATACAGTCATGATTACAGCTAGCACATATGCCGAGATGCCACAGCAAGAAGAAGTAAAATTGGAATAAACTTGGGTCCGGACACATGAGAACATTGTCAGTGAAAAATGCTGTAGGGTTTTACTGAAATAAAAGTACGCAGATATTTAATGAAAGAACCATGAGCAGAGTTGGTTCTCATTTGGTCCACTTCTGTGCGTGTGCTCGCGCAGATTTGTGAATGTGTGCGTGCGCCTACGCGTGCGTGTGATGGATGTGTATGTGGATTTGTATGTGTAGGCGAATGTGTATGTGCATATGTATGTGGATGGCTATATGGCTATGTTTATATGTATGTGTATGTATAATTGTGTCACGGTGTGTGTGTGCGTGTAAGTGTGTAATGGCATGTGTATGTCTTTGTGAACGGATATATATCTATAGGAATGCGTGTATGCGTACGGGTATGTATGTGTTCACTTATGCATTTGTGCATATGCATGTTTTTTCCTCATTACTAACCTAGAAAACGCTCTACAAAATTGTAACAAGTACCTAAAGCATAAAGAACAAGAAATATGAGACTTCTTACCTCCATGAAATATGTAGAGTTTATGTAAATGATTTTTTTCACTGACTACAAATGTGCGGAAACACAAACACACAGACAGACACACACACACACACACAGACGCGCAAAAAACAATACCTCCATTTTCATTGGTAATAAGACTAGGTACATGTGCAACCAAAAGGACGTGAACAGAGAGAGTCTTTATCCTACTTGACACGACTATATATTTGCACTCACGGGAGCAGGAAGTGGAGCCCCGGGTACTTCCAGTCCCAGTCGGGCATTGCTGACAGCTGGTGGACCCAGTGGTGTTGCTGAACTGCCCCGCCGGACAGGACTGACAGCTGGACGAGCTGTACTGCGGGCTGAACTGTCCTGCTGGACACGGCTGACACGCTGTGCTCGCGGAGCCGCTGTACTGTCCCGCTGGGCACGGGTCGCAGTCCGTCCCCTCGGCGTTACTGTAGGTCCCCGCCGGGCAGATCTCGTCCACCTGGTCTCCGTTGACGCACCTGTACCCAGACCGGCAGGCTTGACAGATGAAGGTCCCGTCCGACGTCCTTAGCACGGCCTTCTGCCCGGGGTTACAGTCGGTTCGCAACCCTAGAAATGAGATAAACAAGTGAACAAACAGCGGCCCATACTGAATCTTGCACGAGTTGCTTCAGTCTTGAAGAACGCAGGTCCAACTCGCCTGCAGAAAGGACAAAATATTGAAGGTGGAGACCACTCATTGGAGAACCACAGCTGGTAGGTTTAAGCAGAGTCTGTAACATTTAATCTTACATACTACTAATTACATACGACGGAATTCGTAACTAGTAGAACGAACGCTCTGACTGAACAGAATTTCTGACTGTTTGCTGGACGTAAAAATTGCTTACCCGTATACCCTGCGGAAAATCCTGCGCCGCCTATTGAATGGTCGGAGATGAAGACAAGGTGCATGGTCCTCCCACTGGCCACGACCGGCGACGGAATTGTGCTACCGCAGAATTTGCCGAGCCGTGTGCCGCTGGAGGTGGCGCCGTCATACACCGCCAGGTAGTCGTAACTGCAGCTATAAGATGCCTCTATGTGCAAAACTGTAAATCTGCAAGAGGTTAACGTTCAATATCAGTGTAACATAACAAAAGGCTTGCCATGATTATCATGAAATGATCATGTGTTGCTGCTGCTTGCATGGAAAAATAGCCAAAATATAAAGGCAATGTTGATATGATTATACGAAAGACAACCGCGCGCGCGTGAATGTTTTCGACCATTTCTAAACAAAAAAAAGTTTTCAACCATACTCAATAGTACAAAACAGTCGCAAAATGACCAAAAATATACCGCAAGTTGCAAAACAAATTGAAAATGATAGCTATGTCATAGAATGCGAAATCAAACGAAAAAGACTAAGATGTAAAGGAATGAATTTAAAGACAAGATGATTCGCCATACTTCTCTTTGTGTCATTTGTTCAACCTTCATAACCACGAAAATTTCATAACGAAAGCAACTTTTCTCTAAACTTTTTTTTTATTCGCACTAGTTTGGGAGTTTCCAAAGGATGTCATTCATATAATCAAATCAACATGGCCTAAATAGAATAAAATGAACAATCAGTAATGTTGCTACTTTCTGCTAGTTGGTGACTTAACGTACTACTGGGGCAATTATCTCCATATGCCATTGGTAAATTATGAATGGTCTTATCGTCCAAACCTTACCCATTTAGTCGCAGCCTTTAAACGGCTGAATTGATAAAGGGTATCACTTATTAATCAATACAAATCACAACAATCAAATAATACACGACACACATATTTGCTCCACAAATTATTGTTGTGGTTCAAAACCAAACTGGCTAAGGTTTACATATAACGACCAAAAAGAGCACGTACCTTTAATTTAAAACTGCCACTTGTTATAAAGAGCACTAAAAAGGTCATGAGACTAACTTCAAAGGCCTAAAAAAATAAGCCTAACGGACTTACCTGATGGCGGCCAGCCTTCCCCTGCTGACAGTTATCGTCCAGGAACACCGGAGGTAGGGTGGGTACATGCCCGGGTATCCAGGGGAGGTGATTGTACCGGAGTCTCCGCTCAGTATGGCAGGATTCTGACAGCCGGAGTACTGAGCTGAGGTAAATAGAAGGTGAAAACACAGTCATGGTTACATACAGCTAGCATATATGCCGGCATGCCACAGCAAGAACAAGTGAAATTGGAATAAACTTGGGTCCGGACACATCAGAACTCTGTCAGTGAACAATGTTGCGGGGTTTTACTGAAATGAAATTATGCAGGTATTTAATAAAAGACCCATGAGCAGAGTTGATTCTCATTTGGTCCACTTCTGTGCAAGTGGTCGCGGGGATTTGTGAATGTGTGCGTGCGCCTACGCGTGAGTGTGATGGATGTGTATGTGGATTTGTATGTGTAGGCGAATGTGTATATGCATGTGTATGTGTATGAATATATAGCTATGTTTATATGTATGTGTATGTGTATGTATAATTGTGTCACGGTGTTTGTATGTGTGCGTGCAAGTGTCTGTATGTGTAAGGGCATGTGTATGTCTTTGTGAAGGGATATATATTTATAGGAATGCGTGTATGTTTACGGGTATGAATGTGTTCACTTATGCATTTGTGCATATGCATGTGCATGTACATGTGTGCCCTCAATACTAACCTAGAATTGTGTTTAAAATCATGTATTACCTTAAGCAGACCTTGTCGAAAACGCTCTACAAAGTTGTAACAAGTAACATACTACCTAAAGCATAAAGAATAAGACTAGGTACATGTGCAACCAAAGGGACGTTAACAGAGAGAGTCTTTATCCTCCATATCACGACTATATATTTGCACTCACGGGAGCAGGAAGTGGAGCCCCGGGTACTTCCAGTTCCAGTCGGGCATTGCTGACAGCTGGTGGACCCAGTGGTGTTGCTGAACTGCCCCGCCGGACAGGACTGACAGCTGGACGAGCTGTACTGCGGGCTGAACTGTCCTGCTGGGCACGGCTGACACACTGTGCTCGCGGAGCCGCTGTACTGTCCCGCTGGGCACGGATCGCAATCCGTCCCCTCGGCGTTACTGTAGGTCCCCGCCGGGCAGATCTCGTCCACCTGGTCTCCGTTGACGCACCTGTACCCAGACCGGCAGGCTTGACAGATGAAGGTTCCGTCCGACGTCAATGGCACGGCCTTCTGCCCAGGGTTACAGCCAGACGTGCAGGTCCCGTTGTTTGAATCACACAGAAAAGTTCGTAATCCTATATAGAAATGAGATAAACAAGTGAACAAACAGCGGCCCATACTGAATCTTGCACGAGGTGCTTCAGTGTTGAAGAACGCAGGTCCAACTCGCCTGCAGAAAGGACAAAATATTGTAGAAGGGGACTATTTATCGGAGAACGCCAGTTGGTAGCTGTAAACAGAGTCTGTAACATTCAATCTTACGTACTACTAATTACATACGACGGAATTCGTAACGAGTAGAATGAACTCTCTGACTGAACAGAATTTCTGACTGTTTATTGGACGTAAAAATTGCTTACCCGTATACTTAACGGAAAACCCTGCTCCGCTTACTGAATGGTCCGAGATAAAGACGAGGTGCATGGTCCTCCCACTGGCCACGACCGGCGACGGAATTGTGTTACCGCAGAATTTGCCGAGCTGTGTGCCACTGGAGGTGGGGCCGTCATACACCGTCAGGTAGTCGTAAAAACAGTTAGCGTGTAACTCTATGCCCAAACCTGTAAACCTGCAAAGATGTTAACGTTCAACATCAGTGTAACATAACAGAAGGTTTGCCATGATTATCGTGAAATGACCATATGATGTTGCTGCTTGCATGGGAAAATAGCCAAAATTACTTAAGGCCATATTAATATGATTATACGGATGACATCCGCGCGCTTAAATTTTTCGGCTGTTTCCAAACAAAAAAGTTTTCAACCATAATCAATAGTACAAAACAGTTGCAAAATGACCAAAAACGTACCGTAAGTGGCAAAACAAATTAAAAACGATACCTATGTCATAGAATGCGAAAATCAAACGAAAAAGACTAAGATGTAAAGAAATGAATTTAAAGACAAGATCATTCGCCATACTTCACTATGTGTCATTTGTTCAACCTTCATAACCACGAAGATTTCATAACGAAAGCAACTTTTCTCCAAGCTTTTTTTATTCTCACTAGTTTGGGAGTTTCCAAAGGATGTCATTCATATAATCAAATCAACATGGCCTAATTAGAATAAAATGAACAATCAGTAATGTTGCTACGTTCTGCTCTTTTGTGACCTTACGTACTACAGGGACAATTGTCTCCATATGTCATTGGTAAATTATGAATGGTCCTTATCGTCCAAACCTTACCCGTACAGTCGCAGCCTTTAAAGGACTGAATTGATGCAGGGTATCACATAATAATCAACACAAATCATAACAATCAAATAATACACGACACACATATTTGCTCCACAAATTTTTGTTGTGGTTCAAAAACAAACTGGCTAAGGTTCACATATAACGACCAAAAAGAGCACGTACCTTTAATTTTAAAACTGCCACATGTTATACAGAGCACTTAAAAGGCCATGAAACTAACTTCAAAGGTCTAAAAAATAAGCCTAACGGACTTACCTGATGGCGGCCAGCCTTCCCCTGCTGACAGTTATCGTCCAGGAACACCGGAGGTAGGGTGGGTACATGTTCGGGTAACCAGGGGAGGTGATTGTACCGGAGTCTCCGCTCAGTATGACAGCCTGACAGCCGGAGTACTGAACTGAGGCAGATGCTAATATGGCAGGTGAAAACACAGTCATAATTTGCTACAGGTAGCATATATGCCGACATGATACAGCAAGAAGAAGTGAAATTCTTGGGTCCGGACACATGAGAACATTGTCAGTGAACAATGTTGCGGGCTTTTACTGAAATGAAATTATGCAGGCCGTAGAAAATAACCTGACATATGTCCAACCTATCCTCCCCCTGCTGAAGTTATAGTACAATCCCTCAATGTAACGTCATTCGATCCCATCCCATTATGGGGTTCCCCGGCTATATCCAGCTGTCGGCTGTCTCCAAGCAGATGTAGGTGGGGATTTCTAAACACAAAAGGTCCTATTACGGGGACATAACGACCTCCACGACTCTCCTCTTTGAACTCAATCTTGGAGACCACCACAGTAACATGCCTATCAAATTTCATTAACTTCCATCCACACATACAAAAGTTATCCTGCTCACAAGAAAAATTAACAAAATGCCCCCTGTAGTCACAACGAAACCCCCAACGAAGCTCAGTAACAAACTTAACCTTGGTCCCGACAATAGTAAGCACCACACCAAGAATTATAGTCAACATTTTACAAATACTTGAGTTATCTTGCTAACAAGCCACAAACACAAAAGGTGCACCTACGTGACACACAGACCCCCCACGAAGCCGAAACTTGTACTTGACTTCGGCCTCAACAGCGCTAATCTGCCTGCCAAAAATCATGGACGTCGAATCATGCCTTCCAGAGTTATATTACAAAATCCGCAGTTCCCCACACTCAGGCGAGACAATTTCATAATCCTTCTGACGAAGACAATAAGACTAGGTACATGTGCCACCAAAGGGACGTTAACAGACAGAGCCTTTATCCTACTTGACACGACTACATATTTGCACTCACGGGAGCAGGAAGTTGAGCCCGCTGTACTTTCAGTCCCAGCCGGGCATTGCTGGCAGCTGGTGGAGCCGGCGGAGCTGCTGAAGGTATCCGCTGGGCAGACCGTGCAGCTGGTAGACTCCGCCCGGGCGCTGAACTGTCCTGCTGGGCAGATTGTACAGCTTGTAGACCCAGCGGAGCCGCTGTACTGTCCCGCGGGGCACGGGTCGCAGTCCGTCCCCTCGGCATTACTGTAGGTCCCCGCCGGGCAGATCTCGTCCACCTGGTCTCCGTTGACGCACCTGTACACAGACCGGCAGGCTTGACAGATGAAGGTCCCGTCCGATGTCCCTGGCACGGCCTTCTGCCCGGGGTTACAGCCGGACGTGCAGGTCCCGTCGGCCGACCTGTAGGAGCACGCGTGGCACTGGTCGGGCGCCGGCCCGGTGCACACCCTGCTCCCGGCAGAACTCACATCATGACACAAGCTGCTGCACTCTGAAACAAGTATAGTAACGTGATGACTTTTAATAATCCCACACCAAGTAATTTTTGTGGATATCGTCCACGCGCTTTGATTTTGACCTGTTTCCAGAAAAACAGGACAGGACGACAACTGCTGTTCCAGTGGTTTACCGCATGCTGTTTTCATGACGGATAAAAGAAAGACAAACTAATACGTATCTCTGAATATGCCGCTGCCGCCATAGTGCGTTAGAGGACACTCTTCCACATGCACACAAACAAAGGAATTCTAAGCCTTGTATATGTCACTGTTGTCATAGTGGGTAAGAGCGCACTTTTCTACAAACAAACAAGCAAACAAACAAATATGTACCCCTAAATGTACCGCTGTCATCATAGTCGGTAAGAGGACACTCTTTCACATACAAACAAATCTTAACCTATGTATATATCACTGTTGTCATAGTGTGTGAGAGGACACCTTTCCACAAACAAACAAACAAACAAATAAACAATTATGTACCCCGGCATATGTCACTGTCGTCGTAGTGGGTGAGAAGACACTCTTTCACACATAAACACACAAACAAACAAACAAACAAAAACAATTACGTACCCATGCATGTGCCGCTGTCGTCATAGTGGGTGAGAGGACACTCTTTCACACACTCTTGCACCACATCCTCACTACGTGTCTCCTCCATACGCTTGATACCTGTAAAATGTTTTAAAATTTGAAATTGAAATCCCTGGCGCTTTCAGGGCTTTTGGTGCATAGGGGCGGATTCCCATCTCCGTTTCCATTGCTATTTGGCCACACAGTCGAGCTACAGTCCAGTGTGTTCTACTACTAGAGCAGACAAAGCAACATGTATCTTTGAAAAATATGCACACTACTTTCTCTGATTAGCACTTAAAAACATTTGGTATGACGGAGTTTAAATGCCCAGCCTGCCACATGAAAGACATTGCACTGTTTTTTTAGGCATGCTTTACTGTTCCTTATCTTCATACTATAATTTAACCAATGTCGTAGAGCAGCAATGAAGCAATCTACCTATGCTCTTTACTCATCCCATCTACCATGTGCAAGACTTTAAAACATCTAATAGCGCCCGTATGGTAAATATTCAAAAGCTAGAATTGTAGAATTATATAACATATGTAATTTATTTATTTATCTTAACAACGTATGGGTAGTCTCTTCAGCCCCTAGGGGCTGATTTCCAAGAGAGTCCATAATAACAAATAAACAAGAATATAATGCAAACAAGAATACAGAAAAATAATATAACATAAATTAAATTAAGCACAACAGTCGGTCAGTGGTCTTTGGATGGAGGGCCAGAGGTCAAATTCCGAGTAACTTAGGAAATGGTAACATAGTAGTAATAATTGAAAATAAGAATGATGAATCATATAAACAAATCATACAAATCAATAAACATAGTTAAATCATGGTTGTCGAGATCGTCATTAGGTAGTCAGGTGTTAGATGGGTTCAGATCTGAGTCTGTCTTTAAAGGCTTTAAGTGTGCTTACTAATTGCAATGTGATAATGAATGAACCCTTGAGAATCACAAACCGACATCTTTAAGATTAGATGAAATAAACATTTGCAAAATTTAGCAATACGCCTGATGATAAATAATAATATTTATTACTTAACAATTGTTCAAGGTACAGAGTATTGCATTAATTTCTTTATATCAAACATATTATGACACTAATCTACCTTAAAAATACTATGAAGTATGGAACGAGGATGTGCTTTGACAGTCAATGCTCGAATTTCTAGGTTTTTGAGATATTGTCCTGTAAAGACAATGCATGGGTTATCATAGGCCAATGTTATAGGTACCACACTCACATTCACAGTTGGTGGTGCCAGGCATTACTCTCATAGTTGAAGGACAGTCTGCCACGCACGAGAAGTCGCCCTCGGCAGTGCCCACCAGTGGGTACGCCACTTTCTTGTTCTTGCACAGGACAAAGTCATGGGAGTCGTCTGACCCAGTCGTCCCGCAGCCTAGAAACATAGAAGCGGCTCGTTCTCATTGAAATGTACAGAATACCGGTAACGGAGGTTACAACATCACACTTGGCATTTTTCTCTGAAAGGTCTGAAGATATTAGTTTCATCTTTAGGGAGCAAGGGATCATAACTTCGGACATTTTAAAACTGAGTAACTTTTATATAGCAGGTGAAATACTTAACATTAAAAGCAAGTCATACTGTTACAAATGTGTTGTATAACCTGGTGTTGTACACTTTTTGTGTAACGTAGTAAGTTTAGTGCAAAATCAAAGAAAGCAATGATAATGTCCGAGGTTTGGCTCATATCTAGTCATAAATAGTGTCGACAGCATTTTGCACATTTGAATTACAACGAGCCAAATATGTAGTGTAGTGAATAACTGTCATAATGCCGCAGTTTAACTAAAAATAGGTCCTGCTGCAGAACAGTTGGCCCTCTCCACGCTTTCCATGATTGCTTCTTTCCGCTCAAGGTAGCAAAACCGTTCGAGATTTTCTACTTTAAACAACTTCTATTTTGTCTGTGTCTAAGCAGCTTACTCTATATATACTCTCACACACACACACACACACACACACACAAACAAACACACACACAATGTATATATATATATATATATATATATATATATATATATATATATATATATATATATATATATATATATATATATATATATATATATATATATATATATATATATATATATATATATATATATATATATATATATATATATATATATATATATATATATATATATATATATATACCCCTAGGAATCATCCTAGGGGAGATTGGAATCCCTATCTCCCCTAGGGGAGATTGGAATTCAAGTGTTTTTTGCACAAAACTGGGATCTGAATATGTGAATTCCAATCGCTGCTAGGAGGATTCCAGATTCTTCTAGGGGAGATACGGATTCCAATTTTTCCTCATTTGACAAGTGGGAATTCTTACAGGACAATCTCCAGTTTTAAAAGGGGAAATTCTGACTGCATCAAAATGCTTGGCAAAATAGAAAAAAAGTTATTTCACACCTAAACTTTCAATCAATTTCAGCATAGGTAAGTGGATATGTAAATCAGACTCCGATATTTGCATCAGGCCATTGTGAGATAGTGACTCAAAACCAGTTTTCCGAGTTTCTTAGTGACTTGGCATATAACTTACATGTGTAAGGGATTGTTTCCCCCTATCAAGCCAGTCAAAGTGACCAAAGTGACAGCGTACTGAACAAGTGATGGCAGAGGATGAACAGCGGCAGAAAGCAGAATTGCCTATGCTGAAATAATTGAAAGTTTACGTGTGAAATGATCCAATCTCTAAGTTCTAGTATTTCTTCTACTGAATTGGGATCTGAATATCAGGCTTCCAATCTTTCCTATGAGGATTCCAGTCTCCCCTAGGATTTCAGATTCTCCTAGGGGAGATAGGGATTCCAATCTCCCCTAGGAGGATTCCGGATCCCGCTAGATTCC